TTCCCTGATTAGTATCAGTTGAATCCGATATTGAATTGACTTAAACATTAAGTTTCTAAAACATAAACTTAAAATGAACAAGGTTTTGATTTTAGTGTCAGTGATAGGAATGTGCAGTGCACATTTTCTCCCAATAATAAGCGGTGGCTTAAGTATGTTATAATAATCACGAAATTTATTAAATATTAACATGATTTTGAAAAATAGGTAGTATTAGCGGGGCTATTGGAGGTGCTGCCGGAGGCGCACAGGGAGGTATTGGCCAGGCTATTGGTGGTGCCACTCAAGCTGCCAGTACTATCGGTGCAGCGGCTGGTAATCTAGCCAATGAGGACATCAAATTCAAGACCGGATTGGCTCAGGGTATGTTCGCACTAACTCTAAAACTACAACTATTTTAATAATTATTTTTGACTACAGGTGCCCTAAATGCGGGCTCAAACATATTGGCAGCAAAGAGTGCTTTTGTCGGCAAATTAGCTAATGCTGCTGAGGGCGCTGTTAGTGGAGGTTTGGGTGGTGTTACTAATGCTACCGGTGCTGTCGGTGGAGCCGTTGGTGATCTGATTAATGATGAGATCAGAATTAAATCCGGATTGGCTCAGGGTAAGTCTTACCGACTATTACATATAGTGTATTGGTTTATGGAAATTGAGCAATTGATCCATTGACATACAGGTGCTTTGGGAGGTGTCCAAGATTTGCTAAAAGCAAAGGGAGATTTTGTTGGACAGGTTGGAGGAGCTGTTGGTGATGCCGTCAATAAGGGAGTGTCTGGTATTGGACAGACAGCCGGTACTATTGGTGGAGCAGTTGGTAATCTGATCAATGACGACATCAAAGTCAAGACCGGATTGGCTCAGGGTATGTTTTGTTTACTTTTTAGTATTATTCTCAATATAAATAGTAATGAATATGGTATAATAGATAAACGTTAACAACTAAAACTACAACTATTTTTAATAATTATTTTCAACTACAGGTGCCCTAAATGCGGGCTCAAACATTTTGGCAGCAAAGGGTGCATTCATCGGAAAGTTAGCTAACTCTGCTGAGGGAGCTGTTAGTGGAGGTTTAGGTGGTCTTACTAATGCCACCGGTGGTATCGCTGGAGCCGTTGGTAATCTGATCAACGATGACATTAAATTGAAGGCGGGATTGGCTCAGGGTATGTTTGGTTTAGGTGGTCTTACTAATGCCACCGGTGGTATCGCTGGAGCCGTTGGTAATCTGATCAACGATGACATTAAATTCAAGGCGGGATTGGCTCAGGGTATGTTTCAATTGACCAGCGAATGTGATTTACAATTTGTATATTGTATGTATATACAATGTATATAATGAATAACTTTGAACTACAGATGCCCTGAATGCGGGTTCAGGCATATTGGCAGCAAAGGGTGCATTGGTTGGCAAATTAGGCGACGCAGCCCAGGGAGCCGTACAAAAGGGAACGGACGCCGCCATCCAAGGTATCGGTGGTGTCACTGGCGCTGTGGGCGGTCTCATCAACAAAGATATCCAATTCAAGACTAATCTCATCCAAGGTATTTAACACCTTGACAATATTTAATAGTACAGTATAGAACATTTTGTACCCAAAGTGCCATATTACAATTATTGTGCATTAATATTTGTACAATTATATAATGATATATACTGGTATACTAGTATACATTATTATTATTTTTGTAATAATTCTAACCACAAACCCTATAACTAACCCATAGGTGGTCTGAATGCAACGAGTGGTTTGATTGGCAATCTGGGAGGTGGTATTCAAAAGATGGGTGGCATGTTTGGAAAGACTGTCGGAGGGTTAACTGGTGGTATGGGTGCTGGTGGGACTGGAGGTGCAGCTGGTGGTGCTGGTGGTATCGGTGGTGGATTTGTCCTGCCCACTATTGGATTTGCTTTTAAATAAACTTCAAACATACTAATACACTAAGTTGCTAATATATTAATTTAAATAAACTATTAAAATACAAATAACATATCCAAAATTGATTTTGTAACAATAATTTAAATTAAAAATTATCTTTCTAATAAAACGTTTAATAATAAAAATTTCTAAGTTGCAAGATCACACTTATAAAAATATTTATTTCATTAATACGAGTACTTAAAATAAGATATGAATATTCTATGTCATAATAAATTCACTACTACTGTATTAAAAATATTTTTGTTTTATTATTGTATGCCTTATTTATCACATTCCTTTTGGATTTATGACTATATTTAGCAAGGATGTATAATTTTATTTTGGCATTATTAGAATAGTAGCATACAAAATATATTTTAACAATAAAATTTAAACAAATATTTCTAAACCTAAATAACACTTTCTACTCAATTTAATCGCTATTTATTTGATCATTAATATGAAAATCAAATATTTTGAACACAAATGTTTGTTACATTTATTCAGCATTTTAACTGTGGATTTGGTGTCTCTATGTTTTGGTGAGCCGCCGGTGACGGGTAGGTGTGCCCGACCGGGACTGCCACCAAAAGCCCAGTTATGGCTGATATCACCCGAAAGAAGTCGTTTCGATAATAAGGAGAAAGTGTCGGTTTACTGCAAAAAGGATGAGTTCCCGCAATTCAAACAGAAACTGGAGTGTAGGAACGGTAGATGGGTTGGTGATACAGCACGTTGTGGTGAGAATCATAGACTAAATAAATTATAATCACTAATTCACTGTTGAAAATAGCAATACACTGTTACTTAGATAACACTCTTTGTGTTAAAAAAGGTATCTGTTAAAAAAATAACAATCTAAACCCTAATGTTAATTAAATAAAATATATAAATAATTATAATAATTAGGCCCAAATAATTGGAGGTGTACAGGTACAAAACTACTGCATTAAACAGGTTTTATATGAAAGTAAAGTGTGTTCAGTATTGATAAGACAATCTTATGACTTATTTTGTGTGAGATGTTTAC